CCCCTGCATCGGCAGGCGGACTCTCAACCACTGCGCCACCAGGGAAGCCCCGACACCCATTTTTATAGTGGTACAGATGCTGCTCCTTCTGGGCAGAAACCTGTACATGCAGCGTTGTTTATTGGTCCATCCGGGCCTCTGCCTAGCATACATACACAGCCCAAGAATCTCAGAACCAGAATCTTCCATGTAAAATAGTGGAAGAGGAAAGTTTTCTTTTGTTTATATTGTGTGTGTGTGTGTGTGTGTGTGTGTGTGTGTGTGTGTGTAGTTATGGTGGTGGTTCTGACACATACTCTGAAATTTCTGTTTTCACAATCATTTGAGTATAATTTAAAGGGTGTAATTTGGAGAAGACTGTTGGGTTTTTTGTTTTTCCACATTTTCCTGTTCTTTTATTTTCTTCAGATCTCTGGTTTGGGGCCAATTTATGTGTCCTGAACTCTGAGTATAAATGCAAGCAACATTGATGTTATGGTACATTGTATTTCTAGCATACCAATTTCTTCTTGGCCACATTTAGAAATCAATTATATTAAATCTTAGTGAATCCAAATTTCTTTTTGAAGAGTATTTGTTTACAGGATTCATCAAATTATATAAAAGCTAAGCGAAATGACAACACTTTTACTGTGTGTGTGTGGTTTTTTTCCCCCAACTAAATGTATCTTTCGTACCTGAGGGGGGGAAAAAAAAAGAGTCAGTATAGATTACGGCTTTACCCTCTGTGCTAGTCCGGAACTTCTTTGGTGGGTAGGGGGTTAATGCTGTATCCTTTCAGTGTCCTTGGCCAGCTTTAGCAATTTGCTTCCTTATTTCATTTAAAACCAGTTAGATTTCAAGACCAAGAAAAATATTAATTAGGTAGGTGTACAGAGTTTGTGTGGACGTTTTGTGCTTCCCGTTGATTGTTTAAACAAAAAAGTGGGGCATGGGCGTGGGTGCAACTGAGAGAGGCTGGAAAGGGAAAATTTTCTCAGAGGTAAATATTGGGCACATGAGAAATACTAGTAGGAACATGCCCACCTAGTCACCTACCTGGTACCTGGAGGAACTAGTGCCAGCACTTTGGTCTGTGCATGCCTATCTCTTTGCCTCTCTTTCTCCTCTCATAACGAATTGAACTTTGCTAGAGGAGCAAGCTAATGGGGTGAGCAGGTCAGTCTTAGGCACAGGTGATGTCCGATGATGCTCATCACCACCTCAGGTAAGGCAGTGTTTAGGTAGCCCTAGGAAAGCGCGTCTTCACCATTAAGATGACATGATTATTTTTTGCTTTGCTACCATTGTTGCGATCAGAAACCATCACAAGATCTGTCAGTGCTGGATCTGTCAGGAAGGATTGTTATAGAGTGATGAGGAAGAAGCACTTGGAGGCATCACTGCCTGGCTCAGGTGTTACCAGCCTCAGCATCTTGGGGAGGTTTCCCGTCAGCCGAAGTTTGCAGCCTCTTCTGGGATACACTGGCCATGTTAGTGTCAAGTTTTGCCTCAGCACCAGTTTTTTCATGATCAAGCAGAAGTGCGACAATTACAGAATGGCTCAGAGTGGATCTTCTTTTTCTTTTTTCATTTGTAAATGGCCCATAGATATTTTTCGTTGGTAAAGTAATTAAAATTCATTCAATAAAATTCACTGGGGAAACATCCATAAACCCCACGTAAATGCCCTCACTTGGAAGAATTCACTGGGCTGTACAGGCCAGGAAGGAAGGGTTCCTGGGCTCTAAGCCCAGCTCCTTGCGGGGTCACATTCTTTTCCCCACCTTTAGGGACTGGTATTCAGGAAATGGTTACTGCATTCATTTCCTTTCTTAAGGAAACCTTTGTTAGTGACGATATGTTCTTCTGAGGACTTTGTAGATCTGAGTAAATAAATTCAAGGAACTAACGAATAACGTGACTAAATCTTTATTATTCTAAGATCAAAGGGACCGTTTCCCATTACAAAAAAAGGATGTCATTGGAAAAAGGTCCACAAAATAAACCTCCAGGATCCCCTAACCTGTGCCATTAACAATGTAGCAATTTTCTTTCAGTGCAGCAGAATATTAAAAATTCAGATGCGAGAGGAGAACCTGGGTCCTGAGATGTGGCTCGTTGGGCGTCAGGGAGGACTTCCTTCTTTCCTCCCCAGCTAACTGCCTTCCCCACGTCCTCCTTTCCCTCCTCCCGTCCTTTCTTACTTCATGGGGTGTGGGGGGCACGTGTCCCTACCCCGTGCCTTTAATCCTCGTGTTCCTAACCGCCAGCCCTGGTCCACATGGCTTGACCTTCCACTTGACTGTCTCCTGTTTCATGAAAGCAAAGCTGCCGTTTTCCTTTTAGCACAGGAATTGGGCTTTCCTCTGAAACAGCTTCCAAGGTTGCTTCTTGTCATGCCTGTTAGAAGCCAGGAGCATGTGGACACAGCCAGCAGTTATGCTGGTATTATACGTGATGCAATGCCCTGAATGTCTACATGTCCCCTCGGATTGAGCTCAGATCCACCTTCCCTGTCACAACCCCGTGGGGCTGCCTTGCTAGGCCTCAGGAGACAACTGCACCTGGCACCGTCCCCGTGGTGCTCACCAGATGCATCCTGGCTGGAAAAAGCTCTGGGCTCTCTGGCTGCACCAGTGTTCCCATACCCACCAGGCCGCGTAGACCCTGCCATCTCCATCCCCAAGATGTGAACCAGCATGGGATGCCTTCTCCTGTCTTTAATCATGTTCCTCCTTTCCTACCCTCAATTTGTTTTTAATTGGAAATTCTTTTCGTGTTCGCTCTCAACGAAGACTTGGCTGCTGACAAGTAAACTGGGCTCAGATGAGTGATTTACTTTATGGCAGGTTGTATGAAGGTAGTAAAAAGAGACTGCCTAGCTCTTCTGCTGATTTACTAAATCACTTGATCTCTTTCAGTCCAAATCACCCCCTCATCCCCCGCAAATGGTCATGGTGTTTTAATAAAAAGCAGAGCCTCTAACAGAGCTGAGCCTTCTCCATCCTATCAGAATACCGGCTTCTCTGAATCCCTGAGACAGCTTGTTAAAAGGACCTCACCCTTGTTTGTACCAGGATGCAGTTCTTATCACCTGGAACAGATTGATCTCAATGTGGGGAGATGGAAATCCCTAGTCCAGGGGAGAGGTTTAACACTTCACTCCAAATTAACTGGATTTGCCTGGTTTAGATTATTTTGGAGATGAAAATTTAGGCTGATCGAATATTACAAAGTCAATGAGTGTAAAACCACAACCTCACAGAAAATCTAAAATTAGAAATGAAGAAGGAAATGCTTTTCCTTGAATTAAAATTTGGCAGTTCGGGGATGAAAGTGAAAATTATATTTTGCTATAATTAATTTTTTTGTAGATTTGAAATTTCTTCCACTGTGGTAAAATATGCATAACCTAAAACTTATCATTATAACTGTTTTTGAGTGGACGGTCCAGTGGCATTAAGTACATTCGCATTGTTGTGCAGCCATCACCACCATCCATCTCCAGAACTTTTTCATCTTCCCAAAATGAAACTCTGTACCGGTTAATCACGAACTTCTTATCCCCGCCCTCCCCGCAGCCTGTGGTACCCGCTGGTCTACTTTCTGCCTCCATCAGTTGGACTATGCTAGGGACCTCATATGATGGGATATAATTAACTTGGGGAACAAAGCAAATCTCTCCTTGCATTTTCTCCTCCTCCAGTTCCTCTCTTTTTCCAACCCATTGCTCAGATGCCATATTGCAAGTAATTTGAGACTTAGCCAAACGATACATTGGGAGTTTTTTGTTGTTGTTAACTTTGCTTCGTTGGGTTACTCTTAACACCTCCGCACTCTTTTGGGTCTTCCCGCAGTTTTGAGTATCCGGGGAGCGCAGGAAGAAGAGCCAACAGACCCCCAGCTGATGCGACTGGACAACATGCTGCTGGCGGAGGGGGTGGCCGGGCCAGAGAAGGGTGGCGGCTCTGCCGCAGCGGCTGCAGCGGCGGCAGCTTCTGGAGGAGCCGGTTCCGACAATTCGGTGGAGCATTCTGATTACAGAGCCAAACTCTCACAGATCAGACAAATCTACCACACGGAGCTGGAGAAATACGAGCAGGTAACCACAGCCCTGTGGGGTCTGGGCCCCCCCAGCCCTTCAGGAAAAGAGTGGAGGCATCAGGAAACTCAGGGCTGTGGGCGCCGAGGCGGGCAGCCTTTCCTGGAGACTGACATCTGGGGTCCAGCATCTCCGGCCTCACCCCAGAGCCACTTGCTAAACCTGAGCCCACCGAGTCCTTGGGGCCCACTGTTGAAAACCCAGGCAAACTAGAGAGAAAGCCATTAAAAAAAAGTGGAAGTTGTAAATGATGATTTCAGAAAACATCCATAGAAAATATAAGGAAAACTCAGTTCCTGGAGCTCTGGAGTGTTTCCCTGTGCGCATGCAGCCCTGGGGCTCTCAGGGTCATGAGCAGAGGGTCATGGTGCTTATGGAATCCTATGGGAACGGACACTAAAGTCCCTCACTCTACCTAGATTCAGTTCAGATGGGAGTCAAACATGTTCTGCTTTTTATATATGGTATGCAATACGAGACACACCTCCCGCTATAAGAAGAGTAGAGGGTCTCAGGGGACCCCCTGGAGTCAGACAAAGTTGAATTCCAGTCCTGACACTCCACTAAATGGTCTCTGGGATCCAGTGGTCCACATACTATACCCTAAAAGCTGGGGGTGTTTGGCAAAGAGCTGTGGATTTGGAGTCTAGGATATCAAAGAGCCATAAAAGTCATATGAAGGAAAGGCTAAGAAAGGCTTTAAGTCATAGAACAGTATATAAATGTTGTACGGTATTCTAATTATAATAGCGTCCCTCTCTACTAGAGGACCCCACACACACATACACACACATGTGAGGTTTCTTTTTTAATTTATTTATTTATTCATTTATTTAATTTTTGGCTGCATTGGGTCTTCGTTGCCGCGCGTGGGCTTTCTCTAGTTGAGGCAAGCGGGGGCTACTCTTCGTTGCAGTGCGTGGGCTTCTCATTGCGGTGGCTTCTCTTGTTGCGGAGCAGGGGCTCTAGGCGCGTGAGCTTCAGTAGTTGTGGCACGTGGGCTCAGTAGTTGTGGCTCACAGGCTCTAGAGCACAGGCTCAGTAGCTGTGGCGCAAGGGCTTAGTTGCTCCACGGCATGTGGGATCTTCCCGGACCAGGGCTCAAACCCGTGTCCCCTGCATTGGCTGGCGGATTCCTAACCACTGCGCCACCGGGGAAGCCCCCACATGTGAATTTAAATATCAGTATTGTTTCCTCTGGTCAGTATGAGCAATACTACTTTATTAGGAGTCCCTTAACATCAGGCTGTCCTCCCATTATTTATAGATATATTTGTTGTCGTCTCTTTGGATGTGACATTGTCCTGAAGTTCTAAGTTAACTTACTTTCATTGAATTGTTAGGTTTATGGCTTTCTTTTCTTTTTTAAGGGTCACAGAAGAAGGGGGAGAAAAAGCAAAAAGTGGAAGACCCTGTACTGTCCACTTATGACTGTCTAGGTAGAAGGCAAATGCAAACTTAATAGAAAATTTAAATTTTAAAACAGAAATAGGCATTTTAAAATTTAAAGTGAAGAAAGTTTCATTATTGCACTCCTATCTACCTTTGAAATGGATTTCTACAAAGTCCCTTCTTTTATGAGGGAAAAAGGTGTGAAGCTGGAAGCCAAGCGTGGTGAATTTCAGCCATCAGACAGGTGTAGGGAGGGTTCAAGGGGAGGAAAATAAAAGCAATCTTGTGGTAAGAACCTGTGGATCATCACCCTCCACCTTCCTGGGAAAGAACAAACATTCTTAACACGGTGTAGGCTCATGTAGACATTTCCTCAGTTCCCAGAGAGGCTGAGCTCAGGTAAGCTGGCTGATCTATGACAGCTTCCCCACCTGGGCCATCATGTTAGGGGTCAGAGTCTGCCCCAACCAATGGGATAACTTGGGAAGACACATGGAGACATTTGCTGACAAGGTCCCTATCTGGCCTCTTGGGTTCTTCCTACTCTGTGCTTTCCCTATTTTACCTTCACTGCTAAGCTTGGCCTCTGGCATAACAACCTATCTCGACCTAGTATCCAGGTTAACTCATGCCAAACTCCAGGGGTACACGAAGAGTGTGGCTTCCTCCCTAAACCTGTAACTGGAATGAATGTTAGGCTGGGTGGTGTTTAAAACTGGCTTTCTTCTTAGCTCAGGTTGCCAGCAACATAGACAAATGGATTGTTTCCTTGATTTAACCCCCCCCTTGTCTCACTCTTCCATCCTCATCCAAAATGACTGAAGCACTTTTGTCAACTTAACTACACTTGTTCCTCAAGGTGATTTTAAGGTTGGGTCCTCCAGACAGGTACTGTCATCATCTGCATTTCGATACAGCTGAGGAACTGGAGGTCAAAGAGGTTAGGTGATGTATCTGGGTCACACATCCAAAGGAGGGACAGGGTTGGCCCTGGAAGCCAGATTTTGACCCTTAGCCCAAGGGCTCTTATTGGAACAATACCCAGCCGGCCGCACTTAATATAGAACGAGTGTGGACGTCTGTAGACAATGAAGTAACCGGCTTGACCTCTCTGTTACTTTCATGGACTAGATTGATGCTCTCTAAGAGAGGCTAGTGATAAAAAAAAAACTATTCTCCTTCAGAAATTTCTCATAGATATCTACCTATTCTAAATAATAATCATGCTGGAAATTGGGAACTCAAGGAAAAACTCCATCAGTTCAGAGCAAATTAGGTAAATGTAGTAGTCTGTATTTGTTATTCTTAAAAAACACTAAAAAATCATTTCCTTATTTCTTTGGGCATTTTCTGGGTAAGAACTGAATACTGTTTAACATACTCTATGTGCTTAATAATTTATTAATATTAGTTGTATTGTTAATTAGAGTAAATGGAAGATTATAAGGAAATTATGCCATTAACCTTCTAGCTAGTATGTGTGAGAGATAGATCTTTTTTTTCTGTAAGCATTCCTTGCGGGAGCTTTCTTAAAAATAGGAAACCTTAGTAAAAATATCAGTCTCTGTTTTAGTAGTACCTAGATGGTTACCAAACTGACTATTTAAGAGTTGATTCTGTTGTTTTGTTTTGTTTTTAGTTTGGGGATGGTAGATAACCAGAGGATCAATTAGCTTTCCAGTGAGTAGCTACCATAACCCTACTCACCCCTCCCCCACCCCCCCCAAAAAAAACCCAACATGAGTCAGCCATTGTTTCACCCTGAGGTTATTAGATAAAGAAGGCTTCTAGAGACTTTTCATTCAAAAGAAAAGAAGGAAATTGTTGTCTTCATTAAAAGGGGCTGGTAAAACACTTTTCCAGCAGATCATGTTGGAAGCTAAGGTATTTAAGAGCTAGCATATTCTAGTAGATAAAACCGTGATATCCAGTAACCTGAATTTTGTTGCAAGTGCTATTCTAAAAAACGATACGTTTGCAGTTTTGCAGAGTTCTTCACTTTTCAGTTTATGTGAATAATGCTGCCAGGGCATTGACAAGGCTGTCTCTAAGGCCGAACCCAGGTGGGTTATGTCCACTCACAGCCAAGAAAGTCTTAAAATCCCAGTCACATTCGTTGCTGAAACTGGCAGCCAAATCCAGTTTGAAGCAGTAAGAGAAGGTGGGCTGAAGAGAAGTGCAGGAAGGAGGCTTCAAGTCTAGGATTAAATTGCTTAAACTCAAGCAGGATTTTCTAAGAGAGCTTCTCTTGGGTAGGGTGCTCCCAGGAGGGCCTTTGCCCTGGAACTTGGGACGTCTCCTTTCAGAAAGCGTCCGCTTTCTGGGGGCAACTGGAGGGGTAGCTCCAGGAGGTGTACCATCTTTAGGACAGTCTGCAGCAGAGTCTCCTCTGTCACAGAAACCTTCAGCCAGCGAGGGTCCTATTTAATTAACGATTGTCATCCCCACGCTTCCCAATTCCATCAGGAGCTCCTGGCTTCATGGGAGCAGCACAGCTTGTGAAGGTGCCGAGCTTGGGGGAACTGAGGAGGAGACGTGGGTAGTTCAGGTCCTGGAAAAATCTGGATCACTGTGTTCTGTCTGTCTAAAATGGACTTGGAACTCCTCTGCACTGTCTGTTGTGTGTTCCCGAGCAGCTGTTGAGCAGCTGTCTTGCTCCACCTCAGCAGTGGGTGAAAAGACTCCACTGTCTGTTTGGGGCAGAGCAGAAAGGGGCCCAGGATCCAATGCCCTAAATAAGCATCAGATATTGTGAGTATTTTTATTCACCGTAATGAAGCACATCATTATTAGCCGAGCACTGTGGCTCCCCAGCAGAGAGCAAGTGCACTTGACAATACCTCCTTCACGTCCAGTCCCTCCTCCCTGTGAGCCCCCATCAAGGGGGGAGGCTGCAGCCCAGCGGGGGCTGAAGCGTTTCTCCGGAAAGCCGCTTAGGATGCCTGCTGTGTGCCTCCCCCCACCACGCCCCACCCCGACTTCTCATAGACTTGCCGCTAACTCGCTGCCAGGTTTTATCTCCCTCCCTTGTTGAGGTTGGGGAGAGATGAAGCTTATACTAAGATCCTGTGTTTAGGTAGCAGTTTTCTTAGTAAGAGCAAAATGCTGTTGTACCTGATCTTCTGTGGATTTTGTCTGCAGCATGTGCCTGCAGCGTAGAAAGAAGGTATTTGTGACCCCCTTTAGTTTTACCACGGGGCAGACTGAAGCCTGGAGAGGTTTGCCCAATCGTGATCCTATGCTGGGTTTCTAAGTTCTCTGTACGTTGAAGAGATAATAATGACACAATTTATATGGCCAGACACAAAGAGAGTAACTCATGTAGTCCTTACCACACCCTTTGAGGTACTGTCATCCCCATTTCACAAATAGGGAAGACGAGATACAGGGATCTTATATAACTAACCAAGGCCCCAGAGCCAAGTGAGTTCCAGTGCAGGATCCGAACGCAGGCAGTCTGTGCTCTTAGCCCACTGCTACGTTCATGTGTCTGATTTACTCCACCTGCAGGTCACTGCACAAGAGCATGGGCACTGCTAGCCTTGCTGAAGGGTTAGGAATGATTAAATCCACTCTCGGACAAATAAAACAAAGTACTGAGTAGTGAAAGGATTTACCCACATACTCACGGAGGCAGGTCAAAACCCAAGCCTCCCAGCCCCCGGTGTAGACACAGCCCAGTGGATGCATCTGCCTGTGTATCTTTGGCCAGCCGACCTTGAAGGATTTCTTGGAGAAATGAACAGTAAATATGTTATTGTTACTGCATAATTGACAGCTATGAAGGGCTTGGTGCTGTAGAAAAACAAGGGCAATGCAGTGTTAGCCTCAATGGGCGTGTTTCTACTGTTAATATTAAGTTGAACCCTTTGAGTCCTTAGTTCTTCAAGTCTCACAGCATCAAGTTGCCTTTTTTTGTTACAATCTTATACAGTTTTACATTACTGTGAGTTAACCTGTGAGTAGATATTTTATTGAATGTTCACTGATAAAACCAGACTACAGAGATGATAAGTAATAGTAACTAAGAGAAAGGGCAGTGGTGCTCTGAGGAGCAGATTCAGGGTCTGGGAAAGAACAGACACCCTGGCCTGGATGAGGATGTGTTCAGGTCCTGCCTCAGCTGCTGTTTTTTGCTGTGGGCCCTTCATCTCTTGGAGCCACGGTTTTCCCAACTGTAAAATAAGGAGGTGTGAAAAATGATCTCCAGTTTCACTTCCAGAGCTGAGAGTATGTTGGTCTCTAACCTGAGAGTTTTCCTTTCTGCAGGGATAACTCCTGAATCCTCTAATTCATATTTGGATGCTGGTTTTTTGTTTGTTTGTTTTGTTGTTTGGTTTTTCTTTTTGCGGTACACGGGCCTCACACTGTTGCGGCCTCTCCTGTTGCGGAGCACAGGCTCCGGACACGCAGGCTCAGCAGCCATGGCTCACGGGCCCAGCCGGTCCGCGGCATGTGGGATCTTCCCAGACCGGGGCACGAACCCGTGTCCCCTGCATCGGCAGGCGGACTCTCACCCACTGCACCACCAGGGAAGCCCTGTTTTTTTTATTTAACCTATTCCCTTTGTGTTATAAACATAGCAGATCTTCAGAAGACCGGCATAGGAGGGAGTTCTTACGATAAAGCTAGAAGTAGAAATAGATTGATGAGAAATCTCCCAGAAGAGTTATCAGAGCTTTTAACTTCATGATTCCACTCTTCGGGCTGTTTATGCTAAATTGAATATTTGGAAGCTTTAACATATCAGAGATAAGGGCAAGACAGAAAGTTCATGCTATATTTGGCCCCAAACTCTCTTTGACTATTAACATTGGGGTGAAGGGTTGTGAAGTGTGTTTTATACTAGTGTCCATGTTCTCATCTTTCATAGTAGTAAAATCATGAAAAATAATTGATTTTGAAAAATAATTAAGAATTTTCTTTTCATTAAAAATATCCACATCATGGCCAAAAATTATAATCAAATGGACTGAGAGAGATTTCCAGGCATCATTTATTTTTTTCTGATTTGACAAAATGCCACAAACTAGCCCACTTTCCTTACCTGCACACGTCTCTAGGAAAAGACCTACACAGCCTCACGTCAAGTGTGCTGAGGCTTGGACCCTCACCACGCCCCATGTGTGTCATCCTGCCGTTCCAGGCATGTAATGAGTTCACCACCCACGTGATGAATCTCCTGCGAGAGCAAAGCCGGACCAGGCCCATCTCCCCGAAAGAGATCGAGCGGATGGTCAGTATCATCCACCGCAAGTTCAGCTCCATCCAGATGCAGCTCAAGCAGAGCACATGTGAGGCTGTCATGATCCTGCGTTCCCGGTTTCTGGATGCGCGGTGAGTCCTCAGGAGGGGTCTGTCCTTTGGGAGAACCACTGATCCAGGGTTGGAATCCACGACTGGCCCTCTCCAAAGACTCCGTTGTCATCATGTTCAAGGCTAAGCCAAGTGGTAGCCTGAGAAATGTTCTTAGGTCAGGGAAAGGAGTGCTGAGAGGGTGGATGACCATTGGTTTTATACGGCTTCAGGAAAATGTGTCATGGGAGGGGATATTTTTTATGGCCTCTGCTACTCACTGTTCATGAGAAGCAAGGATGACTTAGCTACAGGGACAGATAAAGCAGGACTTTTTGTTTTCATACCGCTAGATGTCTCTTTCACAGGAATAGGTTGTAACTATGGGCCCATACAGGTCTTACTAGATAGTGCAATGACATATTTTCTCCAAGAAAGTTCTGATTGAGAGCTGGGAATCTTTGCCACAGTATATGTAGGCAGAGAGGGCACCCAGTTCAAGTCAACAAATATTTATAACTAGATTACCATGTGTCCTACTCTGGGCTGAGTTTTAGGGGCACAGAGATGAAAAGATGAAGACATGGTCCCTTGGGCATAGAGAGGCAAGGGACTGGTCTGATATGGGCCAGATTTTCAATCAAGGTATGATGTTTTCTATCTGACATTAACTTGTGACCTAATTTGTGAGGTCAAAGAATTCAGTTGAAATCACGGATAGAAAGGTCCTTTACAACAAAAACTGAGATTATAGAACAAATAATCAGTTCTTGGTCCTCCTACCCTCTAGACCAATGGATTTGTACAAATCCCTTTGATTTCTTTGGCTTCTGTTATCCAGCCTGTAAAATGGTGATATCATATCTTTCATCTACTCTAGGGGAGTGTGTTGATAATTGATCTAATAAATAAGTTTTCAGAGTGCGGATATCCTTTGTGATATACAGTTCACCTTAAATTAGCCATCTTCTATAAATGCAGGTTTCATCATTCATTGTTTCAATTCCTGAACATAATCCCAACATATGATTTTTATTATTGAAACATTAGGTATGTCAGGGTCATATACCATTTACTAATCTGTAGTTTTGTTCCTTTTCATTCAGACACCCAAATGCTCTGCTTTTTAAATTTTTTCACCCAGGAAATCATGTAGTATTCAGCTCTCTTACCTGTACTTTTCTCTCTCTTCACAAGTGTGGTCTTTACAGTTCACAGACCTCTTTAAAACTCTCTGGCACCTCCTAAACTCCCTTTTATTCATTGTGTTTTGGGTCACGTGGAATATGAAATAAGAATGCCAGCTAGTAAACTGTATCTCTGGGCTAATAGAATTCCATAGAGTAAGTCAAGAGAAAGTACAAATGAAGAGAGCTGTTCCCAGCAGAGCATGGTGATGAGTGGGGGAAGACACAGGCCCTCTGAAGCAGGACCCCCCCTGTGCATCGCCCTCGCCCCGTGGCCTGCTGCCAGCCTGGCTTCTTTAAAGCAGGCCGTTCCGCACGGTACAAAGTGCAAGTGACTGGTGGCCTGTGTCTGGGTCTTTCCCCTGTGCTGTGGCTGCTGCCGCTCTGCATGTGTTGTTTACATCCCCATGGTAACACCCCTCGTTAAAATGCTGGAGTTGGCATTTATGTTGGCAGATACTGAAAAAAGAAAAAGAAAAATTGGGCCCAGACTGGGTTCTTTTCAAGAAAGAAATCAGAGAGAAGGGAGGAGCAGAATCATTTTCTCATAGGATTTCTTCTCTCAGTAACTCTGCTGTGGCCAGCAGAAGGTCAGACTCTAAAAGACGCGAAACTAGGCGAGCTTTGTACACAGTTCCTTTCACTTCCACCAGCCTTTGCCTAGATTGTTCCAGTTGGCACCAGAAGGACAGTCACTGTAAGAGAGGGTCTCTTTCCTGCTTTGGCTGCAACCTTTGAATCATTGCCTCTGAGCCAATGTTCAAAACTAAAACAACTAACCTTTTGTCTTTGTTATTAGCGTTTACTTAGAGGTATGTATATTTAGTATCGCTGAAAAAATATGACCCGAAGTGCCAACCCAAGGCTAAGCAAATGGTTTTTCCAGCTCAAAAATAAACGTTTGCCTGGACTTCCTGATTGCGGTAACTAATATCATTGCTTCTAGTGCTATCTATAATTGGGAAAGCTAGCTAAACACACTTTACTAAGAAAGACACATTCACTGCTAATGTTCATGTGCTTCTCTAAACCATGCATCTGATGGGCAGGGCTTCATCGGAAAAGATTTCTTGGAAGACAAAATACAAGGAGGACTTGATTTAGTAACAGGATTAGTCTTCGTAATGTAATGGGTATGCAGAATTGAATGTTACTGCTTTGTTGTGTAACATTCCTTGTATTTTGTGTTGCTGAAGAACAGATTACCACAAATTTAGCAGCTTAGAACAACACAAAGTTATTATCTCACAGTTTCTGTTGTTCAGGAGCCTGGGCAGGCTAACCTGGGTTCTCTGCTCTAGTCTCACAAAGCTGCAATCCAGGGGTCAGCTGAGGCCACACTCTTATCTGAAGCTCATTCCAGTAGGGGCATAATTCAGTTCCTTGTGATTATAGAACTGAGGTCTCCAGATTCTAGAAGCTGCCCTCTCCATAGGCAGCTTACAAGTTGTCTGCTTGCTTTCTTCCTGGAGAAAGTCACCATTTTAAGGCTTTAACCTAATCTCCCGTTTCATTAACGCAAAGTCAACTGATTGGTAACTTAATCACAGGAATGATATCCTGTTATTTTCACAGTGCCCCCCAACACATACACTCAAGGGA